GGGAGGGAGGGAAAGAGAGAGAATGTATGTGCACCCGCGCAGGCAGATCTATTTCAGTAGGATTTTTTTTTTGTTGTTGCTTTAATTTAAAATCATAATCTCGCTGTCTCTCTCTCGCAGCGTGGCAAGCCCAAGAGCGATCCCCTTTAGGATCGCGCCTCAAAAGGCTGCGGCATAGGCGCTGCCGGCTCCATTTATTTACGAGCTGCCTTCAAAGCGGCCCCTCTCGCCATTCTCTTCCTGGGAACCTCGGTCTCGGGGGGCTCGGGTCACCTCTGGGGCCAAGGAGTTGCGGGGCGGGAACCCCGGAGCCTCCTTCTAGTGGCAAACTTTGCCCCAGCCAGGGAGTCTGGGCTCGATCAGGGGACGCCCGGGAACGCGCGCCGTCGCCGCCTTCTCCCGGCGCTAGCAGCCTGGGCCTCACCTCTCTCTCCCCGGCGGGCGAGGTGCGGGCTTTCCGCGCGCGTCCAGGGGGCGGGGCGGGGCTCGCGGGGGCGGAGCCAAGGGTGGGTGCTTCCCGCTGCTATATAAAGGCCGGCCACCGCGTTAACTTCGGACTTGGGTTTATTTATTTGCGGAGCGCCTGGACGGCGGAGGTTGGAGGAGGCGGCGGCTGTGGCTGCCGCAGACGGTGGTTAAAAAAAGGAGGAGGAGGCGGCGGCGGCGGCGAGGGATGGGAGCGCCCAGGCTTCGGGGCGCAGGCCAGAGCTGCCGAGCTTTCCTGGGGCTGCGGGAGTACTGAGGAGGAAGGGGAACGTCCCGGGGGCCCACAGGCGACTCCAGAGGCCCGGGCTGGGGTCTTTTTGTTCGGCTGCGCTCAGCGCCCAGCAGCCAAAGCGGACAACTCCAGTTACAACAACAACCCACCTTCCAGCAGCCCGGCGAGACTTAGGCAGCCGCGTCCGTCCTATTGTTTAGACACTTGCCTGGGGCTCCGGAGCGCCAGTCCCTGCTCTCTGTCTCCGCCTTCTCTCTCCCCCCCACCTTCCTCCCGGGAGCCGCAGGCGCCGAAAGCTTCCTAGAGAGGGGAAGGGGCTAGAAGCTAAGCGCTGCCTGGACTGCGGTCGCCGAGTCAGGTGCAGCGTCCGGGGCCAAAGCAGCATCTCAGCGTCCGCGCTTGGACTCCTCCCGTGACAGTGGGAGACCGGATCCAACGCCTGGGGAAACTTCCTGCACTTTGAGGTTGAGGACCCACTTGCAGGGGCTGCCTGGCGGGTGGCTGAGAGGCTGCGCACCTCAGGACAACGCTGCTGTTTCTTCTACCTGTGCCGTCAGGTGTGTGCGGTGGAGCTGCGGCGTATCCCGGAGACCAGAGGTGCTGACAAGAGCGCGGACACCCGATCGCCAGTCGGCTGTCGCCTGTGATCTACCTGGGTAGCAGATCCCATTCTCCCGCCTATCACCTAGTATACCCACCAGGGCATACTAGCAGAACTGGGAGCGCGGACACCTAGCCTTTGCTTTGCTTCTCCTGGCTTGCCTGTCGACGAGTCTTGCTCCAGCCAGTTCCCACTCAATCTTCCTAGGAGCTCTCGCTCTCCTACTAAACTTGGCTTCCTGGATTTTTTTTTTTTTCTGCAGAGGTGCGGACTAGTGGATATTTCTGCAGGGCTGCAGCGGTCCGATTGCCCTTTTGTCTCTCTGTGTGACCTCAGGGGCAGGCCCTGGTGCAGAGCGTCGCCAAGGACGCCAGGAGGGAGGCGGGATTGCCTAGATATCCTCCAGTGAAGTGCATGTGTGTGTGCAAGACATCCTTGGCTGTCGGGAGGCGGCGAAGACGGGTTGGGGCTGCTGCTGTGCCGCAGGAGTGAAGAGGCCCTGTGAGCTGAGCCCTGCGCCCCGCAGCGCCGCCCGGCGCCCCCAGAGCTGCGTGAACAGCCGGTGCGCCCCCGCGCGCGCGCCATGCCCAGTATCTCCGAGGGCTCTGCTTTGGACCTGCCAGGCCCTTTCGCCTTTTAGCTTCCGGGAGCCCAATTTGATCAGGGCCACCATTACTATTGAAGCCCCCTCCTCAGCCTTGTACTCTTCCAACTGGAATCGGATTTGCTAGAGGGTCCGTGGGGTCAGAAGCCCTCGCTTGTCCTCAAGCAACCAGCCCCTGCATCTTTGCGGTCATTTCGAGTAGGAGCTTTTTTTTTTTTTTTTTTACCGCCAAGTTGAAGACGCGCTCCGTCCTCACAGCTGCTTGGGGTCTCCTCGCAGTCTGATCTGGGCCTACTGATATTCAGGATCTGAAGTTGCCCACGGATCTTCTGCTCTGCTCGAAAAGCGTGGAAAGCAGGGGAAAGGCGTGTGCTTCTGCCAGCTCTACTGCCTTATATTACTGTTCCATATTACTGTGTGTGCCCAGCGTCAGGCACCGGGCCTTGGACACTGCCCAGTTCTCACACAACAGAGAGCTAAAGAGAAGTCCCTCGAAGCAAAGAGCCCGCTGGGGAAGATGAGCAGCATTGGCTGGCAAACACTGTCCCTGTCGCTGGGGTTAGTGTTGTCGATTTTGAACAAGGTAGCGCCGCAGGCGTGCCCGGCTCAGTGCTCCTGTTCAGGCAGCACGGTGGACTGTCATGGGCTGGCACTGCGCAGCGTGCCCAGGAATATCCCCCGCAACACCGAGAGACTGTGAGTACGGGCGCTTCGCCCTCCCCGATTCTCCTTCACTCCCCATCGAGGTAGCATATCCCCGAGCGTCCAGCCTGGAAAGTCCACGTGCAATAGAAACCGGTTCCTGGGGCAGCTCTCAGAGGTTCTCCAGCAAGCACATCCCGGGGGTGGGCCCTCTGAAAGGTGAAAGATTGGCGGGCACTTAACTGGGAGGAGCCTTTGCCAAGGAAGGGCGGATCGCTGGCAGCTACGTGTCCTCCCCACCCCACCCCCCGCCCTTCCCCTTGCCACTTGCAACTGCCTGTGGACTGTGGGCCAGTTCTTTCTGGCTGGAGAGCGAGGCGCCTGGGACTAGAATTCAAGGATGCCCGGGGCAAGGGAGGTGTGACTGTGTTTCCAAGACTCTGCAAAACGAGTCACCTTGCAGTGTTGCAAACATGGGTTATCTGAGGACCTTGTTGCTTCAGACTGGGGCAAAGGGAGGTGGCAGGCTGCTCGAAAGAGAGGAGCTTTCTCTCCCAGGCTTTGTGTACCCTTCTAAATACGGGGGGGGGGCGTGGAGTCTTGGGGTGTCCTGGGGATCTTTTCATAGTCTGTGAAGGATGAGTGTCCCAGGACAAGAGTAGGCTCAGTAGCAACACGCATCATCTCCCTGCCACGACTCTGTAAAGCCCCTCTCATTTTCCGGGAGGAGGCGGCAACAGTAACGTCCTTAAGGGAATCCACTTGGGAGACTTGAGGGAGGACCACGTCCCAGGGCTTAAGTAAAGTTAGCATTGCTCCTCTGTCTGGAACCCACTGGGCCGGGTCCAACTGCTTTGGTGACCCCGTGGCCCTGGGCTGCTCCCTCCAGCCCTCCCCGCTGCGGCTGTGTGCCCTCGGGCACCTTGCTGGCAGTCTGAGAGCTCCTTCACGTGGTGGCAGCTGCTCTGCCTACCCCTCTTCGCGCTCTGCCGCCCGCAGACATCCCCGCCTCCCTGTCTGCGCCAGTCTTTAATGAAGAAATAAACGCAGATCCGGGGATGACTGCCCACGCGCTCCTGGTGGGACACTTCCCGAGTTAGGGAAGCGAAGCGCAGAAGCCACTCTCTTTGTGAAGCGGAGCCCTCTGCCACGAGCCCGGGATGCGCCAGGCTCTCCCGGTTGCGCATGGGTCAGGCAGGCGCCGGTGGCCTGGGCTGGTGTGTCTTGGGCCGGTGTGTAGTGGTGATTGCGCAGAGACTCCGGTTCTTTGCTAAGGCTGCATTAAGCTGCCCTAAGGGGAGACCCTAGGACAGGACTTCTGTGCTCAAAGTCACCAGGGCCAACAGTTACCCTCCTCTTGATCCTCCCACCCCCAATTTGAGGGCCTAAGTCTAGGACTTTCTTCTTTCCCGAAAGGTTTGCCAAACCCCAGCTCCAATGGGGCTCCCCCTTGATTATTTCTCTAATCCCTTGGTGCCCAGCTAGTTGAGCCTTTCCCCCGCGCGGGTGTCTCATCAGGATGTGATCCTGCACGTTTGTGTGCTGTTGGGGTCGGGATCGCCAGAGGAGATAACAAATAGCCCTCGAAGGACTCCCACAACTTTAGAGACAGTTCCAAGCGGTTGGTTGGGGAGAAGGGGGAGGGGGCTAGGGAAGATGAGAAAGGCTAATTTAGTTCTGTCATTCCACGCCCTTCAGAACAGTGTAAACACTAACTTGTCAAAGCACTGGGTTTCCAGAAATGGCAGTGGAGTACCTAGTGGTTGAGAAAAAAAAAAATCCTTAGGAGAGATTTGTGGAGTTTTCAGGAAACCACACACTCAGTGCTTGTTTATAAAATTCTATCGTTAGCCAAGTAAACACTTTAAATACAGATTTTAGTAGGAAGTTTGAAAGTCCAAAGTAAGAGAACTTCCAGAAAGGGACACAGTGACACCTCCCAAAGGCTAGTTTTATTGTGAATGAATGAGACTATGCAAATTTAGTTGTTGACCAGAAAAGAAGGTTGTGACTGAAGAAAAAGTGGTGCTGAAATGGATCAAACCGTGCGTCAAGGCCAAATCCTACTTCCGTTATTGTTCCCACTTGTGGTTTAAACCACAGTCACAGTGGGGGGACTGGGGACGCAATAAAGAGTTCAGCTTCCCCAGGGACTGAGAATGGTGGGGAGGTGGAGGTCTTTGAGGTGCCGCACTCTCCCTGACACACACTTTTCTTTGCCTCAGGAATTTTGGCGACAATGCTACCTCAAAGTGTTCTAATTTTAAAGATCTCCCTCAGAATAGTATGAGACATTTTTTTCTTCTTTCATTAATCTTCCTGAAAGAAAATTCTTGGGGTCTGTGCTAAAAATAAAAGCCAAACTGCAGAATGCCTCAGTAAATAAATACCCACATTCTCGGGAAACCCAAATAGAAGGCACTCACACACACAGGCCACAAACACACAACAAAAGCCAGGGCTAGTGATGACATCATCACTTCATTTTCTTGTCATATGTCAGCAAAAATTCCGTAAACATGAGACATTTATAAACTATTATTTCAAAGGCTTCTTCCCTTTGCTCTCCTGCTTACTTTTTAAGCCACACTAATTGAATTAAGGTTTTTTTTCCCCATAAATCGCCAACATGCTTTAAGTTTTACTTTGTTTGACCAAATATGATGCAAATCAAAAGGAACTTCAAATTTTTTTGGTTGTCTCTTAGGGATCTGAACGGAAATAACATCACAAGGATCACGAAGACAGATTTTGCTGGTCTCAGGCACCTCAGAGTTCTGTAAGTGTCTTCTTCCTCAGAGTCCTGAGAGTTTTGTTTTTAAGATGCTTACTTAGTTATAATCACTAAATGTTCGGAGATTTTAAAACTTTCCTGAAGACAGGAGCATTAAAAAATAAAATAAAACAACTACTTAAGGTCATCTTGCATTTCTTTTTGTTTTCCATTGTATAACTTTTAGTGAAACTTGTGCCTTTGAGAGTGGATGTATGATGGGGGTAACAGAGTAGAAAGGACCTCAGATCTCTACTCTAAGGGCATTATACACAGAAATGTAGAATCACTGTTTTCGCAATACAAGTACATGATGGAAGAAATCTGATACTTTGAGGACTTAGAGGGTTTCAGTAGACTGCTTTCTCTTCTTACTGAAGTAAAAGTATCCAGATTTCTCTTTTGCTAAGAAAAAGTAGAGAAAAACTTGAACACTAAAATCATGCAACCATCTTTTCAGCAGGTTTTGTGGGGTGTTTTAGTATCAAGTATATTGTTCTCATTTGGGGTTGTATTCCTTACTTTGCAGTTCTGTAACTGATATTAATTGTCTTGATATGATTAATGCACTAATTAGTGGTTCAAATTAGCTGTGAGTTAACCCTTAGTTGAGTTAATATTATGTAAATTTGTACTACCCCACAGGTTTGTAAATATTTACACCCAGTGGCCATATATTTTTGACTACTATGCATACCACGCTACCTTTTAAGGGCTTATTTTGGTCCTTATGACATGTGCCAATTGGTGATGTGCATCCACAAGTCAGAATTAAACCATGCATGTGCTGAGCTAATAAATTCCTTAGTTAGGGACACCGGTGAAATCAATAGAAGAAAAAAAGCTCTCAAAGGATAGTTTCCATTATTGACTTACTTTGGAGTTTAAGGTGTAGATTTTACTTTTCATTAGTAACTTGTGTGAGAAACTTCTTTAGTAATTTTTAAAAATAAACGCCTGTGGTATGGAAGCTGCTTCCCCTCTCTGGGTTCTCTCACATTTGCTAGTGACTCAATACAGAGCAAAATATAATGGAAAAGTGCGAGAGAGTCTGTCGGTTTTTGGCTGCTGGGTCGCAGCCTCCTCAGAGGGCAACATTAAGAAGCCTGTTCTATTTTGCATTGCAGTCAGCTCATGGAGAACAAGATCAGCACCATCGAGAGGGGAGCATTCCAGGACCTTAAGGAGCTGGAGAGATTGTAAGTCTTTTCAGTTCCAAACCTATGACAGCATGTCTGTATGTTTAAAAGCACTTGAGTTTCAAGGATTATGTCTTCAGTTTCATGGCTTAGCTTTTAACGTTTAAGAAGAGAGGGCACAAATAAGAGTTTTCCAACGTCAAAGCGAAAATCCCAGGGTAAAGAACATGAATTTGTATTAAAGCAAAAAAGTTCACGGCTTTCCTCAGATACTTATTTCCTTCATAATCATTGTTTTGGCACTAAAATAGGTACATGTGTTCATATCTGTTATCTGTGGTTTGTGCAGAAAGAATGGTTGGAAATTTTATTTGCATTCATGGTACTTTATAGAAAGAGAGGCTTGGCTAAGAATCTTGTAAACATCTATGTTGTTACTGTGTGCACTGTTGTTGATGCTTTAGGACATTTAAAAAGGGTTTTTATGGATGATTTACATTTTTTGATATTTAATACTTACAGTGAACATTGATAATAACTGCTACTCCTAATTCTATTTAATTGTTTTCTAGTAGCTTCTAAAATGATACAGCTGGGAAAGATAAGCTGCAGATTATTAAGATAGGGATGGGTGATCATTCATCACTGGCATTTTTTTCCATGAAGTTTAAGTGTAGATTTCGCACTTTAAAAAATATTTAGATGCAAAAATTTTATAGATATAAGTGTTGCTTAACTGTTATTGTGTTTACAGAATACATATTATTCACATTATATGCATGTATAATAGACAAAATTTATATCTGAAGTCAGAGAAATTATAGACTCTGTAATATAAAATATGATTTACAGATTTCATGTGTCTTGATTATTCAAATTCAATATGTTTTCATTTTTAGGGCAGGCAAAATCTGTAGTAAAAGCACTAATAATTATTTTAATAAGTTTTCATGCCTGCCTTAATAGTCACTGTGGCAAAAATAAAATTTATACTTCTATCTAAATATCTTAATTCTTGGCATAGCGTGTGTTCAGATTCACTGGGCCCAAGAGCAAAGGTTAATTCTGTCATTGTTTAGAAGTGGAAAATTGGCCTGTAATTTTGTGATACATTCATGGATATTCAGCCTATGTTTTTATTGCCTCAAGCAAAGCATCATCATGTCTACATTATTTTACTATAAAAAAATCTGTCCATTACACTGTAACTGTGCAATAATATATAAATTGATTTAGGTACACTGAGATATTTTCTGAGGAAGTGAAATCAAGATAAATATTTAATGGAATCCACACGCAAGTTCTTATGTTCGTAACCTATGTTGAATATATAAAAGTACTCTGAAAGCACTTACTCTTCAGCTACTTCCTAGATGTTTGTCCATAGCTGATATACCTAGTGAGTAACTCTCAAAGATATTTTAAACCACATATGTTTTCAATGTATTGATAAAATTTAGATGAATAGCTATATAAATGTTCATTGGAACACCAGCAGTTTTATGAAGAATGTCTTCTAGTCATATTATGGTTCTAAAATTCATTTAAATCATAGGATTCTCTGATGTTTTTTGCAGCTCATGTTCATTTGTATTGTAATTTTAAATATTTAGGAACATACCAGCAATGCACACTTTTTCTTATTTTTTAAAGCCACCTCAGAATTTCATGTGAACTCTCATCTGAAATAAATTAGCTCTTCCTAAAAAATCCTACAGATGCCATATAATCTGAAATTTGATTAGAGTTGTAAGTGGATACTATTTTTTGACTTTTACTTCCCCTGAGAACGTCACTTCATCTCAGAACAATTTTCTGTTCTACAAAGACTAAGTCAGATGTTGCAGGGTGGGAGGAGGGCTTGTAATTTTGAATGAAAACTAATATATATGCAAGACTTCTTTAAATCACCCCAGCTGTTGGCTGAGAGCAAATATTTCATATTTGTGAGGAAAAGCTGAGAAAATTCCATTTGTTTACAACTGCCAAGTCCATCAGATGGAAGCGCTTTGTTATCTGACAGCCAATTCATCTCCTTGGGACTCTGGAATTCTAAGCCATTTCTTAGGAACATTGTGGATACACTTTTCAAATATTTATTTTTAAATATATTAAATGCCAAGGAAGTTTTGCTAAGGAAGGCATTCAAAATTATTGGGAAAAGACTATTTTAAATTTCCTTCAGTTTATTTTTTAAGAAATAAAAATACAAAAATCCCACCTTAGTTTGTGAGTTTCCTATTCCAATTATTATGGCTTATAGCATTTATTCTTATTTTATATAGAGTCATTATTATTGTCACACAAATTGTTTTCTCACAAAATTTCAAGGGACAATGTAAGAAACAGAAAATAATCAATGGATTAATGTTAAACACTGGATTGTATAATCTACATGTTTGTTAATAAATTGGATGCAGAATGGCAAAATGAACTCCAAATTGTGAAAGGATGCATTAGAAATAGTTTATGTTGTAACAGCCATTCATGAAGTAAAGCATGACCTCAGTGTTCTTTCGTTGTATGTAAAACAAAACAGAATAAAAAACATCATCTTTATTCACTTACAAGTTACGGTTCCGAGTTGTTTTCATTTTATAATGATAACAATAATAGCATTTGCCAGTGTGAAGGTATTTTGTTAAAACTTCAGAGATAGGTATTTTGCATAATGATGGATGAGGAGAAGACAGATCTGAAAATAGTAAATACCATATACATCTTTTTTGCATTTGGTTTTAAATTTGTAAAAAAAAATAAATAAGGTCATTTTAACTTAAATTTCATGCTATAAGATTAGAAAGGCATACTTGTAAATCAAAGCACTATCAGTGCAATATAAAGATATTCTTCACTTAATTAAATAGATGTTGTTAAAAAAAGGTGTCAGTCAAAATGTTAAGATGCCCTTCCTTCCCCCTTGCTCCCTCCTTCTTCTACCTTTACTTTCTTACCTTCTTCTCAAAACTTTTCTCTTCCCCCTGTTTCTTCCTTCCTTTCATGTCACTTCCTTTTGCTATGGGGAAAGCAGCATCTGATGATGAAGATGTCATCAGCATGTGGTTATGGATCACTGTAAATGGAATAGGTTTTAATGGAACTTGCCCCCCATGAGCACATGTTGGGACAGTTGCTGCCATACTCCCAGGCCTGACATGTGCCATGCCAGGGTGAGTGTCTGGAATGCTTTGTTTTGTCAATAGTATTATTTATCTGGGGTGGGGGTCATGGAGAATACTCATCATGCACACTGCAATACAGCAGCTTCCTATTGTTTGATAAGAAAGTTATAGAGGAATATAATGAAGTCATGTTACCAGCTGATCCAATCAAAATCAATTAAGCAAACTTCAAAGTACATACAAGTAAGTTACAGCAGGAAGTTAGGATACTTGAAGTATGCATTTTCTTATACTTCACAGAACACTTATTTTAAAAGTTGTTGATTCAAGGTATATAATGTGTTAGTTTTCTTTCTTTCTTTCTTTCTCTTTCTTTCTTTCTTTCTTTCTCTCTCTCTCTCTCTTTCTTTCTTTCTTTCTTTCTTTCTTTCTTTCTTTCTTTCTTTCT